CCCTATGCCGCATTACGTGTCCTAGCTATGACGTCTTTTTAATTTTGATAGTATTGATCAGATGAGGGCGTGTGTTCATTACTCTCAGTACTTCTTCATTAGTAGTTCTGCCGTCCAGCTTATTCTTAACATTCGGCGGTACATCCACATTTCAAATGAATATAATTTGTTGGCTTCATACTGTTTTAATATCCAGGTCTCACAGCCATATAGTAATAGAGATCAGACATAACATTTTAGTGTTCTTAATCTTATTGAGACTGATTCTTCAGTTCTGCTGCTTATTCCAATGTAAAACCTTCCTTTGTGACTAATTCCACGGCTTCTCCCATTTGACTGTCTGAAAAAGAAGCAATGTTTTTTTCTATTCCTTGCCATGATCTACAAAAAAAGAAACAAATAGTATGAGTTTGTATTATCCAACCTACGTCTTCGATGGAGTACAGTGACACGCGTCTCAGTCTGCCTCACTAAGTATTGTCTCACTGTATCCCACAGGTACAATTTTACCAAAGTGTGATATTTTTTCTTAATTCAATAAAATAAAAATAATATCGATACGCAATTACATGTAAAAATGCCTAAGCTTTACTTACCATCAATATCAAAGTACTAACTCAATGCATAACCGAATATTATTGGTCAATGTGAGGAACAATATAATTACTTTGGGGAGCAAAAGTCACATTACCAGCTGACACGCAAATACGAACAAGCGAACTGAAGCTAAGATTTGCTGGTAGATTCTGCTTGTTGAGAAAACCTCATGGTGGGATAGATTGTTGTTGCGCTGTTGACATGTCCTCAGAAAATGCATTGCCTCACTGTGCAACATGTCTCACTGTGGACCACTCTCCTCTACTATACTTTCAACACAGAGTTTGATACTTTAATCATCTGCCTTTTGGTAGTTTATGTTATGGATCGGCGGTGCAGATTTAAATATTTGCCTTGGAAAGGGGGTACTTCCAATGAAACCAAAGATAAACCCAAACTACATAAAAGACATAAATAATAGGTTTTCTTTCATTTTTAACCTTCTTTGAGAAATTTGTAAAGTTTTACTTTTGTATTTCTAGATATAATTGAGGGTTTAAAAAGGAGATTGAGCCCAAAATAGCACCTGTTGGTCGTGCAAATTCTGCGAATTATCTCTGCGCTATAGTTACTTTCAGTATTCATGAGCGATCTCAAGTATATAAATTCGTTAACTACTTCGATAAAGTTATTTTCTGTAACAAGTGGCCATAGGATTTGTGGTTTCGTGTTTATTTTCATGTATTTCGTTTTGTGGGTGTTGATTATTAAGCTTCTTTTTGTAATCGCTTCTTTTATTGCTACATAGACCTTTAGTACAGCTGTTTTTCGTTTTTTCACGTCTTTTTTTCTAGTCAAGTAGGAGTCTACGGTTTTTTCACAGTTCATTTTGTTCTTTCTTTCATCAAATTTTTATTTTTGAGTATCAAATGACCTGAAGAATAAAGTTGGTCCTGCAATTTCGTTTCTTCGAGGAGATTGCTTTATAGAATTCTGTAGAACCGGATTGAGGTCGAACTTCCTTGTTAAAAAACTCCTTACAAATTCAATCATTCGATTTTGCATATAGCCCTTAGCTGGCTTAAATGGATCACTGATTTCTTATAACCTTATTAGAAAAACTGTAACTGTTCTTTAAGTTTCATTAACTGCTTCCTATATCTAAATTTAAAAGTTATCCATTCTAGCAACCGCGTTTTCATCGAGTTACTTATGCAAGCTTCTAATAAGTAGGTAAATACTTTTACATCTTCTCTTAACAAATATTTAGTCTATCAGGAGCTCGAATAGTTCCATTGCTTCTTCGCAGTGGTATAACTAGTGTAGAGAAAGTTTCATAGGGATCTGGTATTGATGTCGGTTCATTTTTTTCTATGATTTCTAGAGATTCCTCTAGCTTTGTCACGGTTTCAAAAAGTTCCTTCTTGACTTCGAACGATATATGAGCGAGGAGATGAATGTTTTTTTAACAACTCCTTGCCTTAAATCTGATACATGTACCTTTTTGCCCAAGAGTTAATTCAGGAAGTTCAGAGATTGGATGCAAAATGCAGATCAGAACCCACAAAGAACTTTTAAGCATTATTAAAATGTAAAATATGTCCTTCTTCTTCTGGTTCCTATCCGTTTCGGATGTTGGAACTCATATTGGCAATCATAACCTTGCTCGCTGCGGCTCGAAACAGCTCCGTTGAGGTTTTCTTAAACCATGTTCTTAAATTCCGCAGCCATGATATTCTACTTCTACCGGGTCTTCGCTTACCTTTGACTTTACCTTGCAATATGGACTGTAGCAGGGAGTAAACGGTGCTGATTTCTCATAACGTGTTCCAGATATTGCAATTTTATGCGTTTGATCGTAAACACAAACTCTGGTTCCTTCTTCATTTTTCCTAGAACTTCCTTGTTCGTGATCCTTGCTGTCCATGATATTCTCAGCATTCTTCGATAAAGCCACATCTCAAATGCTTCAAGTTTTTTAATAGTGGTGTCTGTAAGCGTCCGTGCCTCCGCCCCGTACAACAACACAGTGAAAAACATAGCATCTCAAATGTCTAATTTTTGTATCTAGGGATATGTTATGACTTTTGAAGATTGCGCTCATTTTGTTAAAGACCGTTCTTGCCTTTCCTATGCGGCACTTTATTTCCTGTACATTGCTCCACTGTTCGTTTATAATAGTTTCCAAGTAGCAATACTGTTTTACTCGCTCTATCTGCGTCCCATTAATGTATAGATGAGCCCCGTTTATATCCTCCTTGCTGATAATCATTTGTTTCGTTTTGTGGGTATTAATGTTTAGTCCGTACTGTTGACTGTACTCGTTTATTCTGTCCATTAGCCTCTGAAATCCCTCTAAACTATCTGCTATGACCATGGTGTCGTCGGCATATCTAACATTGTTTACTCTTTCACCATTTAGAAGGACGCCTTCGTCTATTCCGTAAAGAGCCTCGTTAAAAATTTTCTCTGAGTACATATTAAATATCAACGGCGATAGGATACATCCCTGTCTAACTCTACGTAGTATTTTTATATGATCTGTTTCTTTTCGGTTAATTTTCATGTATGCGGTCTGATTGCAGTAGAGTTCTGAAATTATTCTGAGGTCTTTGTCATCCAGGTCTGCCTCTTTTAAAATGTTTATCATCTTTTGATGTTTGAACTAATATAAAAAATATGTTATTTAGGACATATTTAACGAGAACTCACATATACCTTCCAAGATCTCATAATGGAGAGAAAGATTAAAAGAAATATTGAACAGACCGGGGTACTTAATTCACTAATAAAAACAGAAGCGAACAGAAGAATTAAAAACTTTATAAATTAAAAACTTTATTAGAACTATACTTACATCATTAACTTTAAATATATTAAATAAACTATACTAAATCTCTCTTAACATGTCTTAAAATAGTTCTCTTATTCTATAATACTATTTGTAGGTATGTAAAAACTAATTTCAGACTCATTATATGCTTATAGTAAAATATATTTTGGACAAAACTGTATCTTTAAAGTTTTGGTTTCCCTGTTAAATTTTTTTGAAGTTCAATGTAATGTGAATATTATTTGTACAATAATACTTTAGTATCTCATTATAAATATAACCAAAAAATATTTAGGGAGGCTTAACCTTTGAACGAATCATCAGAAAGGGTGGGTGTTAATGGGTAACAATATAACTAAATCTGAAAGTTGGGAGCCAATCTATAACAATAAAGCTCACAACTTTTTTTGAGAGTCAATTGTTAGGCCTGTTAGGCATCGTTAAGAGCTAAACGACGCCTAGTAATTGGCTCCCAAAGAAAGTTGTGAGTTCTATTCTTTTACATTGGCTATCAACTTTCAAAGGTAGCTTTATTGTAACCCATTGGCACCCACTACTTCTGATGGATCGTTCAAAGGTTACACATTGACGCCCAACGTGGGGCATAGACATTTTATATGTTCTATCGCATACAACATAATGGGGTCTGAATACGGGGAATTAAAAGTGAAAATTGAAATTGAAATTCAGATTCTGACAGAATATTTAGTAAATAGAAAGTTAATCGAATAGTTGAGCGCGAACTATTTCTAGAATAAAAAAATTAAAGTAGAGGATGAAGTTAATAGAAGAACAAAATCAAAAGAAATTGAAATGCGCGAAAATTTGCGAGTTACAAAAGAAAACAGTAGGGAATTGGATGCAAAAAATACGTAATGGAGAACACCAGAAGAGGATGAAGGAGACCTATGTATCAATGATGATAGGGAGACCAAGACTCTTGGAGATGTGTGTTTATTATTTAACTATATATTGACGTCAAAAGCATCAGTCGATGTTGCAGGCCTAATGTACCAATTGTCTAAGAACCACTTTACATTGCGTCAATCAGGTGAATACTAAATTTTAATCTGTAAAGGGCCTACTATATTATATTTCTTATTAATATTTAATTAGAAAACATTTTATTATACAACTCTGAGGTTGGTAAGTATACTGTGATTGTTTTTACTTTTTATATGTTTATGGGTTATGATGATATTATTAGTTTTGTTGCACTTCTGCTCTACAAAATAATTCTAACGTAAATAAAATCTATCAAAATGTAATATTTTTCAATTATGTATTTTAGCATACACTAGGTATGAAGAATATATTCCCTTGGATGAAGAATGCGAGATACAAAAAGTACAAAAGTTGAAAATAAACAAAATGTCAGTCACTAATAACTCCCATTGCTAATTTTATAAACGAATCGTGATGAATTAAACTTAATCAATAAATTATCTTTAAGATGAACACCAACATAGCAGTCCACAAAGTAATCACCTAAGATGGCCTTAATGTAAAGTGGCTTTAAAAACATATCAAAAATAGTAATGAGGGCAAAAGCTGCACAATTACTCATATCATGTTTTACTAATGTACTAAAGCAGTTTTTCTTAAACATTGCCTAAAATTCTTGACATTCTTAAGGTGAGCTTTTTTCGGCTAGATTTAAGTCCTTCTTTAATTCTTCTTTCTTTGGTTTCAGCGGTTGAGTTTCATTGGCTATATCTTCAACTTTGTTCCAAGGTTGTTCTTCTCCAGAACCAAATATCATATATACCAAAATTTCTACAATATATAGTCCTACTGTAGTCCAAAATATTATTCTCCATGATTTTATAGATTCCTAAAAATAAATAAAGAATTATTTTATTAGTATTAGAATGTGTTAGTATTAAATAAACTAATTTATAATGTCTTAAAATTTACAAAAAATTAAGCTGAAAATTAACAATTTTTAACAGATTTAAAGAAAGTGCAGAAACGTATTACTGCAATGACAGACATTTTTGTAGTCTACTGAATAATTATAATTTTTAACCTAAACTCAGTTTCTTAACTATAAAAAGAATTGTTTAAAAGAAACGGTTAATATTCATATCATTAAGTGCGTTGTGGAATTGGTGGATCACAGGTACTTTGTTTTGTTAATGTTAACGATATCTAGACATTAAGTTCTTACGTACAGGTAATGGGTTAATTTAAAGAATATATAACTTACATCATGTTCAGTCAGTTTTCCTACAAATACGGGTACAATAATTCCAGGAATAGTTGCAATGGTGTTCGTCAATGCCATCAAGGTTCCAGCAAAATTGGGCGCGATATCGATGTGGTTGGATAAAAATCCACAGAACATTCCTCCAATAGACATAATCGCAATTGTCATAAGCACTACTGCCACCGCCCTTTGACAACTTATATAACTTAGTGCAATGAAGCAGATCATAGGAACAATACTAGCACATCCAGTCGCAATTTTTCTGGCTATTGTTGTAGTTATAATCTTCCTAGCTCTGAGAGTGTCCAAAGTTTTACTTAGAATCATGCTAAACAACCACATACACAAGAACGGAAGTGCAGTCAGAATGGCATTTTCCGATATTTTAAAACGTAGCACATTTTTCATGTACATAGGAAGCTCGATGAGGACCATATACCAACCCCAATTAGAGCAAGTATGAGCTACCAATATTGCCAAAAACGCTGGTGATGTTAGTACTGATTTCCAAGGCATTTGATATTTGGTCTAAAAAAATAAAACAAACAATTAAAAATTAACATTTAAAGAAACAAATTATGTCAAATCAAAAAAATAAGATATATAAAAACATATTTAGAATAAGTTTTCAGAAAATATGCTTCAAGGTCCTAGTTATAACTATCTACAAGCCATATAAACCTAAAGATAATCCAACAGCTTAACAATCAATTTCTTTATCGCGAAATTTTAGGAGTCACTCCAAATTGTAAATTTTTTAGTGTTAGTTAATGTTAGAAGACTTTAAATAAATTACAATAAAGATTACATTGATGTCAGAAGCAGGATATTTAAATAAATTATGTTAAAATGGCTACAAGAGTTAGTGATTTAAAAGTAACAGATTTGCGGCCAGAATTGTTAAATAGAGAATCTGCCACGAAAAAACTGAATTAGTACAACGGCTAAGGGATGCTCTGAAAGAAGAAGGATTTTATTCAAAAACGGGTGTATTTGAGGTCAAGAATTCTGTTATCGTTTTAAAACAGAGTTTCTGGTGATATATCATCATTGAAAAGCAAAGTTTCGACGATGATCTATTTAATGTACATATATTGTTATTTGCATTACGTTTTGGAGTGATCATTAAAGTCGGTAGTATTTCCTATACTGTGTTTATTATTTACAACCGGTCCGATATATATTAATGTTATAATAAAATGTTTCAACGTATACAATTCCCCCGCTAAAATCTCATTAGATAGTAACAACTTTACCTCTTGTTTTGACTCTGATCCATGATTCAGTGATGATTCTATAAATTTCCGTTCATCTTCAGAAATAAACCTTTGACTTTTTGGGGTATCTGCTATAAATATTCCCCATAAAAGCAGCCACACTATACTAATTCCTCCTTCTATGTAGAAAACAGCTTCCCAGCCTATATTTCCCGCAATTATTCCAGATATCAACATGAATACCTAAAAAATTTGTAAAATTGTTACTAGCGATCTTATTTCATTTAAATAAGTTACAGTTTCATTCATAACAAGTAATAATATGGTTATATTCATATTTATTTACGATCTAAATACTTATTTTTATTTCTTATTTATTCAAGTACACTTCATCTAATTTATATACCGATGCACGTCATCGGCGTCATAGCCTGTGACGTCACATGATACCAACACAAAATATTTAGGGTGTAGGTGTGTTCTTTTTTAGAATCACTTTACCCAGTACACTGGCATTACAGCCACTAGACATATTTTATTATATACACATAGAAATATTATTTAAAAATTTCTTAAAGAAATACACAATAATATGTTTCATTTAATTTGTATAAATGCATTATAAAGCGTTTTTATCAAGAACATTTGTTCGAAACACACTGTAACTGTAATCGAACGGAGGTAAAATTTTGGCATAAATTGGTAACACTTATTTGACAGTTGCGGTGTTGACACTTTTTGTACTTCATTATTTTGAATTTTAAAGTGAATATCTCTTGTTTTATATTTTTAACTATGTAATAAAATCTGTTCTTTTTAGAACAAAATTAGTGTGTTTTATTTAAAAATGTCACGTAAGAATTTAAATAGTCATTGTAAAGAGATGGTAATACTTTTGCAATAATTATGTAATCTATTTGATTTAAAATGGAGTCAGGATTTTTTTATACTTTGGCAACTATGTCAACTTCGATCTCTGACGTAGATAATGACGTAAGTCGTTATCTAAATTAGATGAAGTAATATGTACTGAGTGAAATAATTACAACTCGGACAACACTACGACTAGAATTGTAAGTTGCATACATTTGGCGTAGATTGTGGATAAAAAAAGGAGAGGGGACTCTTTGTTGAGAAAATATCTGAATGTTTTGTCATGAAAAATCAAATATTTTTAACTACTTTATAAAAATAAACAGTAAAATCTTAATTAACTAATAATTACTAAATTTTTAACAATTTAATGTGAAAAAACATCAAAAAGTAAATTTGCCTTCATAACTAGCTCCAGCAATTGCAAAAAGATTGTGAATTTAATACTTACCACCGTACCCAAAGCTGTTCCAGCGTAAACAATACTACTCATAACACTTCTTTCATTCGGAGGAGCCCAATGCGCCAACATTACGTGCATGGATGGAAAAGTAACACCTCCTCCTATACCTTCACCAATTCGCATTGCAATCAAAGCACCAAAGTGTAGATTGGCCATGACAGGTGTTAAAAGTGTACATACTGCATTGATGGTAACGGAAAAGAACATCACCCATTTAGCACTAAAGAGTTCGGCTATTCTGCCACCGGGTATTTGTGCTACTATATAACCCCAGAAATACGCGCTCAGTAAAAGGCCTTGGACTGATGTGGACCAATCAAAAGGTCCTTGCTACAAAAAAGAAAGAAAAGTATAAAAATGGTGTTTTATTAAGTAAGTATTTTAAAGGTAAAATAAGGTATTTATTTGACTTTTCGGCTTATTTTAAAGAAACAAAAAATAATATTCGTAGATGTAAAATTTGTTTGTCGCAACTACTAGAAATTGTTTGTTTGGGCGCCAGGCCATGAAGTTTAGGGCGCCTACATTGTAAAATGCCTTGCATCCTATCCTCCATGCTATGACATGCTGGACGAGCCATACAGTCTGTAGTCAATACCCGATGAGCGGTGTATTGACTAGCGGGAACACAAAGTGTTCAATAAAAATTTGGAAAAAATCATCCAAGGGATCACCCTTGGATTTTTTTTCAATTTCGTTTTTCGGCTATATTGGCGTCAGTTTTGGTCCGAGAGTCAAGCGAGTGAACATTTGTTACATAAAATTGACCGCTCGTTCTTCTGCCATGCTCAGAATTTTCCTACATCTAACGGTTCGTGAGAAAAATTTTATTTGGAGGTCTATATTTGCTGAAAAAGTGGAGAATTTTTAATTTGATTTTTTCTCTTTGCCGGCAAATTTGGGTTAGCGGATCAGACTAAGACATATTTTTGTAATAAGCTGGACTGAGTGCTTGTACCAAAACATTAAAAAAAATTTTTTTTTTCATAAAAATTTGGAAAAAAAAATCATCCAAGGGGATGAAAATATGAAATCATTCCGCGGGAATGATTTCATGAGCGGGAACACAAGTGTATCAACACTCATACTGTTATGAAACGCACCTGGCGAATCATAAGTCCCTTCACATTTTACTCTTCTTCAACTTGAGTAAAATGTCTTTAATCTTTTCTATGAGCCTCTCCTGGCTAACTCTTATTTCTTCCGACCCCGGACGTGGATTAGGTTTCCGAAAGCAGACGAGTCACTATATTTCTTTCTACTACATACTCTTCCCCGACCGAGTATAGGCGGTATAACCTTAACAAGGAAATGTCGTTGCCACCTTCAGGACCACTACCCCCTGAGGCTTATCTGGAAGCTACAGTCGGCAGCCCCGGTACTAGACTCGGATGCGGAAGGCCAATAACCTACCCATCTTAAATTTCATTTTATTACTGAAACTTTGGTAGAAACAAGCTGGACGGATCAATTGTTATGACCTTGGCATCACCGAAAACATGGACACGCTTTTTTTGCTGAAATGTTAAAACTCTGTATGAGATTTCTAAACTAGCTCAAGCAGTAAAATAATTAAATAGGTATAAACTAAGCTTTGTTGATCTATCGGAAGTAAGATGGTTGGGCAATGGTGAACACCATGCCCAAACAGAAGAACTCCTATTATGCAGGGGTAAAGAAAAAAGAAGTCACGAGAGCTGAGTGGGTCTTCTACGTAGCAAACAAGCCAAAAAAGCTTCATTTCATGGAAACCCATTAATGATAGAATTATGACTGCTAGATTTTATACCAGATTCAGTGCTGTGCTCCCACGAATACTTCTCACCCCGAAGATAAAAAAAAATTCTACGAACAACTAGAACAAACAACCGAACAAGTAAACCAAGGAGATATACTAATAGTGATCGGCGATATGAACGCTAAAGTTGGAGTGAGTGACGAATGAAAACGGAGAGCGTTTTACAAATTTTTGTTCCAATCATAGCTTAATTATGGGTGGTCCACTGATTGGTACACCAGTTCATATAAGTGAAAATCAAATAGACCACATCGCCATATCAAACAGATGAATATCATCTCTTCTTGATGTACGTAATAAAAGAGGAGCAGACATAGCAAGTGACCATCATTTCGTAATCGGTAGCATTAAAATCAAGATGGCAAAAAACAAAATAACGAACGTACAACCTAGGTAAATTAAAAACGGCTCAGGACGACATATGTTTAGAGAAGAACTCTAATTCAAAACAAGAGAACTTGAAGTAAATAGCTGGGAAGATTTCGCAGATGTTTTGACAGAAATGGCTAAAGATAAACTGGGTAAAAAAGAGAAAAAAATATAAAAAGAATGGATGCCAGATGAAACTTGGAATCATATTGAGGAAATAAAACAGCAAAAGAAAAATATTTTGCAAGCAATAACTGTAGAAGAAAGAGCGAACCGACGACAAGAATATGAAACAATAAAGAAGAGACAAAAGAAGGTGGGCTAAAGAACTGGCAAAACTACAAAACAGCTGCACAACATAACAAATCTAGACAACTAACAAAAAATGGACCCAACTGTTCAAACATTGTAAGATCCAAGACAGGCGAATTACTTACTACAAGTGACCATCTAAAGATAATTTTTTAGAATACGCTAGGCATGCTTAAGGAAAAAACAGATGAAATTGTCGAAAACCAGCAGAATCTAGACTTGCGTATATCTTGAGAGGCCCCTTCCAAAACGAAGATAATAACAGCTATTAAATCTCTGAGAAATAACAAGTATCCGGGAATCGATAACATTGGTGCCGAAATACTTAAAACGCCTGAACTTTTGGTCCCCATAATCTGAGAGGTATGGGAAGCAAACCGCATTTCAGCGGGCTGGAAAAGGGATAACATTATTAAGCTTCCAAAAAAGGTCAACCTCACACTGTGCTAAAATTGCAGAGGAATAACCTTGGAGTTAGAGAAATAATATATACCGAAATAAATAAAATCTTCACGATCATCATACTTGAAAGATTAACAAACAATATTGCAGCTATACAGCAGGCTTTAGACCAGAATTCTAATGCATAGACCACATTAATACTATGAGGGTAATAATGGAACAATCAGTTGAATAGAATAGAATAGTAGAGTTGAGAAACATCAAGCATAAAATAATTTCCAGTATAAAGTCACTGTACACTGAGGAGAAATGCAGCGTGACACACCATGGAATCAACAACGACGAATTTGACATACTTACTGGAGTCATACAGCGATGCGTGCTTTCTCCGTTTCTTTTTAACATAGAATTGAAAATATGAAAAACTTTACGTATCTTGGAAGTGTTAAAACAGAAAGCGGTGGTACAGAGGACGATGTTCGTATGAGGATACAAAAAACTCAACAAGCATTCAGCATGCTCAACCCTATTTGGAGATCTGGCAAGTATACTACAAGGACAAATATCCGCATATTCCAGTCAAATGTCATGTCTGTTCTACTCTACTGTAGGTCTATATTAATAAATGTCTACGACGAATTTTTCGTAGATTCTTGCCTAACATCAGAAACAAAGATCTACTACACTTGACAAACAAAAAAGGGTAGAACATCAAATAAAGTCCAGAAAGTGGGGTTTAGATTGATTACACACTCAAAAAAAATAATTCCAGTATTGCAAAGATTGCCTTGAATGGAATCCCCAAGGAATAATTTCAACCCATATAACCAGATATTTGTCCATATGACAGTCAGATCAAATGATGTCGAGTTTTTACCGTTAAGTTGATACAAATTTTATTTAAAATTGATTTAGCGCGCGTAACTGACACTCAAAATTGCCGGTGGCTTCAAGCTTTGTTTCTGAAAGAAGAGTTTATTTTACACAAAAAGTTCTAATAAACATGTTTGTTCAAAATTGTCTCAGCTGCATTATTTTTTTGAAAGATTTTTTCGATGGTGTACACGTTCTTGATAAATCGATTTTTTCCGTTTTCCATACTACGAGCGGCGTTTTAGGGAGTGGTAAACTTTATTGTATCCTTTTTAGGGTCCCAAAATTGACATTTTCAGTAAAATTCAGCTTGTTCGTATGGTTTTAAGAGATTCAGTGACATTTTCGTCTCTGACGACTAGAGTATTCAGTCCGTTGCTTGTGCTAAATCACATATTTTAAAAAAAGTCTTGTAGTAAAGCCTACATTTATGTAGTAAAGTACTTGTATAGAAAAGCGAGTTGAATAATTCTCTTTTATGTAGGCATCGGCATTATATATATTTACTTATCATTTTTTTATGAGAGATTTCTCTTTGATGAAATTAGCGAAACGACTATTGCGAATATAGGTTACGTGACAATGACAAAATTCATTGACACCATACATTTACGGTCATAAATTTTGGGACAATGTCAATTGATGTCAATTAGATTATTTTCTATTTTTAACTATTTGTGCAGTGATTTTGTAACGATGACTTAAATAAGAATAAGAAATAAGATATAAAACTATCTTAAATGGCAACAATTCAATTATTGTGAGTTTTAGCTACTAATTTTAATATATTGAATTACACTAGTAGATAAAAAATAAAGTAAAGATGTTAAATAGATATTTATATCTTTTTTATTATTAAAAATCAGGCTTGCAAACCTTATTATAATTGTTTTTCTTGTAGTTCCTTCTCCCATCGGAGTTTGACTATCATCACAGCTATCCGTACCTTATTTGCGGCTGCTCTGAAAAGATTTACTGAGCTGCAACTGTTCTCTTAGGTCTCTTAGCCAGGAAATTCTTCGTCTTCCTATGGATCTTTTACCTTGATTTTACCTTGCATTATGAGCTTTAAGGCTGTTTTAGCAGTTCAAGCACACTGCGATTTGAAATGGGCGTATCACTTACATTTCTACACTGCTTACGCGAGACTATCTTTACTCAGTGGCATCGGCCAACGGGCAACAAATGCATTACTCTCCATTCAAATTAGTTTTAACACAAACTAACTGACCCTACACTCATGAGATTTGAAGTCACGAAGGCGATAACGGTGAACCTAAACGACAATGATAAGTAACACGTTTCACTATTAGATTTTAGTATTTTTTAGCAATTTTTTTCAAAGTTTGAACACGCTTTTCTCGAATATTACTGGACACAGAAAGGTGAAAAAAAAATCAACGATTACAGAAAAAAAACTCTTTCAAGCGATGGGCGTAAAAGGTTTGGTTATAATAGAATGTTAAACAGTATAATCCAATTTTTCAACAGATGTAACAAAAAAAATAAAAAAAGTAAAACCATCATTTTAAAAGCAACATAGTTTCGAATATTGTGTTCAAATTTCGAGACATCTTGTCGGTAAATAACAGTTCCTAGGTTTGGTGCACCGATAAGACAGCCTTAATATCTCATATTTCGTACCTCTGGTAATGTGGCCTAAATATTCCAGCTTTTTTGTTTTAATGTGCTTTATGACCTCGTAATCCTTTTATAGCCCTCTTAACACTTCTGCATTTGTAACTCTTTGGGTCTATTTTCAAAATCCTTCTATGCATCTTCAAAAAAAGCACCACATCTCAAATAATTCCAACTTTTAGTGTCCAGCTTGCTATTCCATACAACAAAGTCGAGAACACGTAGCATCTTAAGGCTCTTATCCTCAGCTCCAGAGAAAGGTCTCGATTAACAAACATTGTTTTATTTTTATAAATACTTGTCTTGCAATTTCAATCAGACCTCTCCTACCCTCTATCTTCCCTTCGAGTATCAGCTGCTGAAAAGTGTATCTTTCTCCTCGTAATATGTGCCCCAAGTATGCAGTCTTCTTACTTTTTACATAACTAAAAAGTTCCCTATCCTGTAAGCCCACTCTTTTGAGTACTTCCTGTTTTCTGACCCTGTCTGTCCATGATATTCTAAGCATTCGACGCAGGCACCACATTTCAAACACTTCAAATTTGTTAATAGAACTGGCCTTTAACGTCCATGCTTCCATTCCGTACAACATAACAGGCTACACGTAACACTTAAGCATCTTGTATCGGAGGTTGAAGTCCAATTTGCGATCAGTTAGAAACTTACAAAGCCTCAAAAAAGCATTTCTGGCTTGTTCAACTCTGCTCTTTATTTCATTCTTGGGGTCCCAACCCTCGTTCAGTAAACAACCCAAGTATTTAAACTACCTGACCTGTTCGATTTCTTTTCCAGAGACATATATCTTTGCGTTCAGGTAATCATTTCTACTTATAATCATTGTTTTTGTCTTCTTGATATTTATTTTCAAACTCCGAGCTTCACTTGCAAGAATTAGATCATTTAAAAGGCACTGAAGATCTTCAATGTTATCTGCCACTATGGCTGTATCATCAGCATAACTGATGTTATTAATAAACATGCTGTTAACTTTAATACCCTTATTAGAGTCTGCCACTGCTTCTGCGAAGGCTTTTTCTACGTATAAGTTGAACAGCATTGGAGACAGTATACAATCTTGCCTTACTCCTTTTTTAATGGAGAAATCTTCTGTTTCGTTGAAATTTTGAAGACATACTGTTGCTGTCTGGTTCCAATACAAATTGGCGATAATTCTTATATCCTTGGCATCAAATCCCAACTCTTGTAGGTATTTTATCATTAATTCGTGTTTAACATTATCGAATGTTTTCTCATAATCGATAAAACAGACAAAAACATCCTTTCTTTGATCTAAACAATTCTGTATTATTGTTTGCATACTAAAGATCGCTTCTCTCGTGCCAAGTCCATTTTTGAAACCAAACTGACTCCATCCACTGACCTCTTCACATTTCTTAAACAATCTAGTGTGAAGTATTCTCAGGAAAAGTTTTAAAAAGTGACTCATTAGGCTTATTAGTCGTTGGTCCTTGCAGAAGTTCGCACGTGGTGCAATGTGCACGTGTTTGGTAGGGCGCAATTTCAATGCGTGTCCTTATTTCTCTACCTTGGTCATTGTTTTCCTTTACAAAGGTTCCCAGATATTTGTAGTTATTTACTATTTCTACTTGTTTTCCTTAATATCTAGCCTTCCTACTGTATGTTGTTCATTTGTCATCATCCAGCCTCAAGAGTCCACTGCTGAACATAGGCCTCTTCCTCATGTTTCCAACCCCGTCTATCTTGCGCCGCTCTTATCCAGTTTTTATTGAGTCTTCTTAAATCGTCAGTCCATCTTGTAGGTGGTCGACCGACGCTTCTTTTGTCTTCACTTGGCCTCCATACCAATAACCTTTTTGTCCATCGCCCATCTGTCATGTGTCCTGCCCATCTCCATTTTAGTCTGGCTATCTTCTCGATGATGTCAGTCACTCCGGTTCTTCTCCTGATATCTTCGTTTGTTATTCTGTCTCGGAGAGTTATTCCTAACATGGACCGTTCCATTCTTCTCTGCGTGACTCTCAGTTTGGTAGCTGCTGCTTTTGTTAAGGTAAGTGTTTCTGCTCCGTACGTCAAGACTGGGAGGACGCACTGATCAAATACCTTTCTCTTTAGGTATGTGGGCAGCTCACTTTTAAAAGTTTCTCTCAGTTTTCCTAATTCTGCCCACCCAAGGCTGACTCTTCTCTTCAGTTCATGATTCTGGTTATCTCTGCCAATCATAATTTCATGTCCCAGGTATTTATATCTATCTACCAGTTCTATTTCTTTCCGACCAATACTGATGTTCTGGTTGGGCACCAAATTGTTCATTTGTAGATATTATATATTATTAAACACAAATTTATTTATATAATTAGCGGGTCTAATTTTGTTTCGTCCTAATACACTAGGGCTAAGATATTTGCCATTGAATCACTTGGTATTTTGTCATGTAAAAAATTCACATGATTCAAATCACGACAAAATGGTCGGTGTCTTGTAACAGGTGCATATTCACGAAGAAGACTAATAGCTCACTAAAATTTTGTATTACACAATGTAAAAATATTCGAATTGGTCAGAACACATAGTGGAAACAGTGGAGGCATGGACTTGGAGTGAACCAGGTGTGTATTGTAACAAAGTCAGTTTCGGAATTTTAGGTGTGAATCATAACATTGATATGTCTTTAGTTTACATGAATAGTAGAGAACGTCATAATATATGGATCTGTGAAATTTTTTGATTTATATACCAGAACATAACTGAAGATAACATTTTGGGGAAACAGAAACTAAAATATGAAACAGAACACATACAAACAACTTCAGTATGTGTCAAACACAAAAATAATTGCGAAATTAATGTAAGCTCAATCTATAGTCCTCCTACGGATTTCATTAAAAAAGAACAGTAGAACATGTAGAATATATGAAAAGTTTGGGAAAAAATATATAATTGGATATATCTTTAATGCAAAGTACACCCAATTGGGATCAAGAGTGACAACGACTAAAGGAAAAGAGTTACTGACATCCATAAAAGAACAGAAATGTAAAGGAATATCAACAGATAGACCCAATTATTGGCCGCCAGATAGGAACAAAATAACGTACTTAATTAATATCTTCATTATTAAAATATATTTTATCTGATTATTAGATAGGTTGGTTTAGGATTAAGGATGGTTGGGATACGAATTCAGATCATTTAACCATAATACTGTAAGTGACATAATCATTAGAAATGAGTGTAATTAGATACAAACATAAATAAACTAACAGACTGGGAAAGTTTTAGATCATTCCCTGAAGATAAGACTGAATTCTTAGAAAAGGAAAGAGAGAGGACAGGTAACACTCATTTAATAAACCTTCGAAAATCAAGCCAGTTTCGATGTGACCGCCATGTTTGGTGCTTGTACGTTGCCCATTACTACCTCTCCACACGGACCGAACCTAAGTACTGACATGTGGACTAAGGTGTTCGTTTATATTCTATAAAATAGTCTTTCCCATGGTGATAACTTACCTCTGCTGTGATTGTGGTACTGTTGGTAATATCTTCTTCCCCACACGTTTCAGCTGGTCTGGTCAGATTATGAGTAACATTTTGACTTTGAGTAGAGTTCGATGGACCATGTTTCACCATACTAACTATAGCAACGTGGAGATTGACTTTAAGACCATATATTATGCCCAGTCCAATAGATCCCAGAATAGCTAGGATATATCTTGCTGACATGATCTCTATAAAAAACGTATCCCAATTAATGCTGAAATTTTGAAAATTATGAAAATAGACAGTTTAGGAGGTTTGATTTCGTTACAACATACCACCATTCACTGATATGCATATTTCATATATCTTAATATTCTCTTTAAAATTATGATTTTGTTGTTTAATAAATTTATTTAAGCTCTCATAAGAACGAGCTTAGAAAGACTCACTGTCACTTTTTTTTATTATTTTTTTGAACCTATTCTCTATCCTTCCATTGTTGGATATAGGTCTCCCCCAGTTCTCTCCATCTTTCCCTATCTTGAGCTGTTCTCTGCCATGTGGGACCTCCTTGTTTCCTGATGTCATATCAAGAGGCAGACCACAGATGAGGTGGAAAGATGACTTTGCATTGTATGGACGCGACTTTCCGATTGCATTGTTTCATCGTCCGTCTTGGAGACGTTCATTGTGTCCAGCCCATTTATATTTCAGTTTTGCAGCTTGTTCTATCGCGTCTACTGTCTTTGTTCTGGTTCTGATCCACTGGTTACGTTTTCTATCTTTAAGTGATATACCCAACATTTGTCTCTCCATCGCTCTTTGTGCCTTCCTTATCCTATCCAAATTGGCCTGTGTAAATGTCAATGTCTGTGCTCCGTAGGTGAGTACCGGTATTATACAGGAGTTATATACATTGCTTCGTAAGTATAGAGGGATTGTTTGATTTTTTAGAACGTAAGAAAGTTTGCCGAACGCTGCCCATCCCATTCTTACTCCTCTCGATATTTCGGCTGTTTGATTTTCTCTTTTAGCTCTGATTGCCTGTCCTAGATAGATATACTCATTTACCTGTTCTATTTTTTCTGTTTTTATTTTTATTGCCTCTTGGTCTTCCGTGTTTGTCATTACTTTTGTTTTGTTGAAGTTAATTTTTAGGCCTTTTTGCAGTGATTTTTTATGAAGTTCATTCAGCATTAATTCCAGTTCTTGTCGTCCCGAGGAGATCAGGAGTATGTCATCCGCATATCTAAGGTGATTTAGGTATTTTCCGTTAATACATATTCCTCTGTTTTCTAAATCTGTTGATTTTATTATGTCTTCGAGGGTCAAGGTAAACAGTTTAGGTGAAATTATATCGCCTTGTCGGACTCCTCGTTTAACTTTTATATTATCCGTTATTAATTTGTCGTCCAGAATTACGGTCATGGTTGCGTTTTGGTAAATATCATGTATCAATTGTCGGTATCTTAAATCTATTCTACTATTGACCAGAGCTTCTTCAACCGCCCAGTGTTCAATGCTGTCGAAAGCCTTTTCATAATCTATGAATGCTAAGTACAGTGGAAGGTTGTATTCATTGGTTTTCTCAATTAAGATTTTAAGCGCATGTAGATGGTCGATTGTGCTGTATCCTTTCCTGAATCCGGCCTGTTCCACTGGTTGGTAGTTATCAAGTTTATAGGTTAGTCGGTTGTTTATTATTCTTGTGAAGGTTTTATATAGTTGTGACAAAAGGGAAATAGGACGGTAGTTGTTTAGGTCTGTTCGGTCTCCTTTCTTATGTATAAATTGTGTTGGCATTTCTCCATTGTTTAGCTATTTTACCTTCAAACAGACATTTGTTGAACAGTATTTTTAGCATTTTTTTTATCGTGTCTCCTCCTTCTCTTAGCAGTTCCGCCAGTATTTTGTCCTTACCGGCCGCTTTATTTCTTTTCATGTCGTTTATGGATTTTTCGATTTCATCTTCAGTTATTTCTAGTAATACCTCTGAGCCAACATTTTGTATTTTCCTCGAGATATTCTGTTTAGATGATAGTGGTGGGTCATTTTTAGAACTGTATAGGTCTGCGTAATACCTTTCTGTGATTTTTACTATTTCTCCTAGATATCTTTCTTCATTGTTCTCAGCTTTAAGCATGATTAGTTTTCTTTTTCCTATATTTGTCTTCATTGTTTTTAAACTTTTATTCTTTTCTATGATTTTCTTAATGCGATCTTCTTGGTATTTCTTTAAATCTTCCTTTATCTGTTTTCTTATGGTTTTGTTCAGTTCCGTAAACTCGGAGTGATATGACAGTGAGTTTACCGAACTCACTGTCATATCACACCCAAAAAAATGCATTAAGTAATGGATAAAATCTATGTATATTCACGTACTAAAATTTCTAGGATGTCTAGGACCTATTTTTTTATTTATAATTTATAAAATATTATAATTCATTACTTACTTCCACAAGGACTTCCTAGAGCTCTTACTTCTTTCACCATCTTGGCACCTAAAATAAAAAATTTAATTGAAAATATGGTAAATCTAAAATTAAATATATGCTAGTAACAGCTATTTCATCATCATCTTGATCCAGCCTTCTGATCAAAAGTTGAACATGTGCCTCCTCTATTTCTTCCAGTTCTGTCAGTACTGAGCTTCCTGTAGCCAATTCCCGCACCGATTCTTAGATGGTTTGTCCATCCTATAGGTGGTCTACCTCTCCTTTTTCTGTCTGCTTGTGGTCTCCACGCTGTAATTTTTTGATCCATCGCCTGTCATTCATTCTAGCCCCAAGATCCTCCCAGATCCACCACAAACTAGTTAGTAGCTCTCTACAACATCTGTCACGCCTGTTCTTCTTTTTTTTTTCGTTTTTAACCCTGTCTCTGAGAGTCAGCTCGAGAAACAACCGTTAAATTCTTCTTTGGGTCACGATTAGTTTGGTTGGTGTGGCCTGGGTTAAGGAAAGTGTTTTGACACCGTCAGGACTGGAAGTAATTTTAATCGAACTTCGTTTTCAACTAGTTTGGCATGTTGCTTTTGAAAATGTCTGATAAAGCTTCATATGCGGCCTTCAATATATGTAATTAACATTTAGTTATAAGAACACTTATAATAGATAATGGACAGTAATATCAAAACGCTTAAAATCATACCTTATACAGTCAATTTACTAAGCACTCAATATAGATTTAAAAAAAAAAAACAAACGCCATATACGCAATATTAAATATTGAGAAAAACTATAATACTGAATAGAGAAGAACTGAAGTAGGTTGAAAGCAATTTTAGAAGACTTAAATATATTTTATAAAAATTAGCATTAAAATTACATTAAAAAAATAGCTGGAACAAATTGGAAGTATGTTGGAAGAAATTAGAAGGACGTTCTTCAAAAAACTCACAGTGTTCTTCCATTGTTCTCCAAATATTTCCAAAGTACTTGGCGACAAGTTTATCGGCATCTTCAAGCTTACGTGAATTTACTTTTTGCAGACCACTTTCTATAATAACCGGGTCAATCATATAGATCGTACAACCCTTCTTTAAAACACTTTTCTAAAAAGCACCTTGTGTTTTTAAACGAAAAATTCCATGAACTAGTGGATCTAAAAACACTTGAAATTGTTTCTTTCCAAATAAACACTTTGCAATTTTGCCCTAAGTAACTGTAACTATTTTTGAAAACAATCCCAAATATGTTTTTAGGTATGATATATTTTCACTTTTTTAATATCTTTCTCAATATTACCTAAGACCCTATTAGCTGGCAAGAAAGAATGACCTACCACCGGAAAAATTACCTCGATGTTTTGTACATGTCTTGGTGCTCTTGATGAAAGCCGTTTGCAACACATTCCAATTAGCGAAGTGTTCTTATTTTGGCCACTGCAGCCATCTGACATTAGCCTAATAGTGGTTACTTCAGAGTGAAAATCAATTCTGTTAAACCTGTTAAAAATGGCGGAAGAAATTTCGTTGAACTCTTTTCCAAATTCGTATTCTGTCCAATAATACGAAAATACATTTTTTGAGTAACCTTTGATTGGGAGGTTCCACAATAGGATGCAATATTTTTTGTGTTTTACAAAAACAAACATTTAGAAAATAAAAAATAACTTCCTTTTAGAACCCTTCTATTATAAAAATCAGTTTCCTATCTGTTCAGTTGAATTTATATGCATTTCCCTTATATTATGACGTTGACGAACTGTGTCTCCCTAATGTATAAAAAAAATAAACAGTAAGGTAATTGAGCATTACTTTGCATTATTCCACGCTTAAAATTTGTTACAACTTCCTTTTCCGGAAAGTAGTAGGACCTACGTGCCTTATTGTTACATTTTTATGCGAATGACTTGCTCAAAATAGTTCATATACAGAGTGAGTTTTATATATGGAATAATCCTCAATTACCTCGCAATCGGCTTGCACTACTTTTGTAGATTTTGGTGTGTAAGGGTCTTGTGATACGGCCGATATTGTGGTGGTATTTAGATTGTTGTCAGATCATCCGTTTTTCTGAAAATCTAATTAACGTTCTTTTTTTTTAAATAGATCATCCTGTATATTTTTCTCCTTTTGTAATCTTTAAGAAATACTGATTATTTTGCATGAAATATTTCCTATAACTAAATGTTATATAATTTCGGGCTTATTGCTACATTTACATAATCTTCGGCGTATTTACATTTATTGGAAAATAGTATTATACTTTAGTTGGCTCGGATGTTTCTAAATTGTATCTAAATGTAGAAATTTGATGACAATAATAATATCCCAAACAACAATATTGTAGGCAATATCTAAATAACTTGTTTCCCAGAAGCTGGATTGGAAGGCATAATTGCCCCCTCAGTCACCCGACATGAATCCTTTGGACTATTTCCTGTGAGGTCACTTAGAACACATCGTTTATCAAACAAAAACTGCCAATATTTAGGAATTAAAATATAAGATTACCGCAGAGATAGAAAGAATTATTGAGCAGTCAAGGATATTGCAAAATGTATTGCAAAGTTTTAAAAATTGCATGGCTTATATTGAAGTAAACGGAAAACATTTTGAGAATCTGCTGTAAACTGTAGCTGTAGCACAGCTGTTGCATTACATAAAAAATAATCAGTATTTCTTACAAAAGGTAAAAAAATATGCAGGATGATCTATTTGGGATAAAGAAGTTCATTAGATTTCCAGAAAAACTAAGGATCTGACAACAATGTAAACACCACCATAATATCCGCCACGTCACAAGACACTTACACACAAAATCTATAAAAATCGTGCAAATGTTTACTATAGCCAAAAAATTTAATGAACAATTTTTTGTTCTTTTTTATATCAATAAGAATAAATCCTGAGAGGAAAGCTTTTAGTGGTCCACCCTATATAAAATGCTGTATTTTAGTTATTGTTTTCATTTACTTGAAATTAGAAGTAATTTAAAAGATTTTTATAACTTTTAAATACTTTGATCTATAATACTATTCCAAACACTATACATAGCCGTTTAATGATACGGGTATAACGTTCAGCACCTGTTCAATGACGTGTTGTAGACAATACAGTTTATTGATAGAATGTTAAACAGTTTGCTAAAATTAAATGAACTATTCGAATATTCTATCTTACCATATATATATAATTATACAAGAATCATTCGCACTGTAATAAAAATTTTATATGAAATTGTAACTTTAACTTCTCGAATATGCTACTTTCAGGCTATATCTGTCAAAATTCCAGCACTATACGAGACTCTTTCCATGTCAGGTGGCTTACCTATGGAATTTGCAGTGAATAAGTTCCTATATTGATCAATATGGCATTTTTATTAATATTTATTATGGTTTTTTATTTATATTCAACAAAAAAAAATTGTTTCGCTTATTCGTGGCTTTTTATTCATGTATTGTACATCAACATACGTTGATAATTATCTTAAAACCACAGGTAGCTATGGAAAATGGGAACAAAACAATTTTCAATTAGTATTAAATGTATTTTGTGATATTGTGAAGCTTATTGCCGATTGTGAGTTTAAAATGAGTCGAGGTAAAGCTATCGATGAGAAAAGTTGTGCAATCATTATTAGATTATTTAATTATAGAAAATCCAATTCGGAAATCGCGAATATGGTGTAATTGTCACGGTATAGTATAAAAAATATGGACAGAGCATATAAAACTACATTTTTGGTCGTCATAAAATATAGAAATGTATGAAAAATAAAGTGACCGAAGCATATCGAATGACATCAAAACAAGACGCATTATAGTGTTACGATAAATATGACTCATAACTGTAAACATATTATTTCTGATTCTATTCCATTCAAGTCTTTCCTAGATTCTCGGACCCTCCGATAAAAACCTGTCTGCCTTCGATGAAATTCCACTCTATTCGAGAAGGTCATCGATCCTTCGCCGGAATTCCGGAACTAGCGGCTTTTTAGTATATATGGAACATTTTATTGAAAAGCGGGCAGTCCGAAAATATAATTCAGTCATTAGACCAATAATAACATACGCGACAGAAACACGACCTAACACAGAGAGGGCAAAAAGGATGCTAGAAAAAGCCGAGATGAAAACACTTAAAAAAATTGATGGTAACACACTATGGGGCAGAGCTAGAAGTACAGATATACGATGTAGATGCAAGATGGAGAAAATCAAGAACTAGATAAGAAATAGAAGAGTAGAATTGAACGATCATATAAGCCGAATGACAACAAATAGAGTAGTAACGACGGTAAGAGACGGTTTCCCAATAGGAAGGTGATCAGTAGGAATACCACAAAGACGATAGAATCACAACTTACTGAAGGCGCATTGAAAAACATACAGTCGTGTCTACATAAAACGAAGAAGAAAAGAAGAATATTTCCTTAAATAAAATGTAGCATTTATTTTCTCATAATTAACAGCTGGCAATTATTATAAGCCGAGATCAGTAGGCAGAAATTATGCTACTGATTTTATATGAAATTACTAGATTACAGTGCACTAAAGTCTAATTATCTAATGACATATTTTCTTTTTGTTTTTATCATATTATTATGCCATTTTATATAACACCTTGATATATACTGATGATGACCCTATAATAATAATAATGCTAATTAAAACGAACAAAAAATACTTTGTTTTTTGCGTACTAAGTTTAAAACTTTTTCCTGAAGAGCCTTTCACCACTGTATCAGTTTTGGTTCTAAATCCGTTTCAATAATTTTCGTGTCGGCACGTAGCGTGACCTCACTAGGGCTGGTCCTAAGGTAGCCGAGTGTTGGGACTCAACCACAAGTTTACCATCTGTGAAACATTCATGTTAATATGGTCCATTGAGTGGGTATGGTGACTATTTAGTACTTCTACTCCTCGATCAGACCTTCATTCAAAGTTGCTCCTAAAGAAAATTCAAGTAGTGAGACCTATACGTGTCGATATGATTCTTAATTGCGTAATCGGGAATCGGTCTCATCTGTTGAGGTTAAAGCAAACCACTTACCTCGAAAATTATTGAGAAACTGTTAGAGCCATCGTTACGTATCAGGATTTACTTTAATCATTCTATTATCCGAGATAAAAATCTGCATAATGACTAGGAATTGTTCGGGGATGACGGCAAATGTTATGCAGTTGTCGGTTATATCAGGTTGTTCCAGATTCTTTTAGTATCTAAGTTAGAAAATTGCCCTGTGGAAGTAATTCTATTACTTCACGCAATTCGAAACTCAAACCTATCCTCTTCACTTGCAATCAATTGAGTCCCAAATAGAGACCCAAAAAATTATTGATTTAAAAAAAAATCAAAAATAACAATCTAAATCACTGTAAAAGTAGTTATCGCTCCTGAAAGAATCACTAAGTATTTGACAACAATGTAAATTGCATGTTATATTGAAATTTAATATTTGGTAGAGTTTTGATACATTGATGATCACCTCTATTGCTTAAATTTTGTGAAGGCGCATCAAATACTCACAGTTAATCACATTCTGGTCTGATAATGCTATTATAAAACTACGTTAATTTCATTCTGAATGTACCTGTACCCTGAATATATTATTAGAAATTAGAAATTTATGTATAGTCATTAGAGCAAAAAGTAAACACGTGATCAATTATATACAGTGCGGAAACCACTTATGGAATAAAGTTGTTAAATTTTACAAACCATTAAAAATAAAACCGAACTTCATTAAAGATGAGGTGAAAGTAGATATTTTGTTAAGTGTCGCAGAGATTCCAATGTCAAGTTCACGTCAAATTGTATGTACAAATAATGTGAGTCATACAACTGTCCTAAGGTGTCTCCACGAAAAAAACTTCATCCATATAAATTGACTTTTGTACAGGAGCTTACAGAAGACGATCCAGATCGTAGAATGGATTTCTGCGAAAAAATGATGGATAAAATTAACATAAATGAAATAGCTCTTGGCACAATTCTTTTTTCTGATGAATTAACATTTACATTGAACGGAGAGGTAAACCGACAAAACTATAAATATTGGTCAGCGG